ATATATTATATATATATTTGCGTCTCTACAGAAATGGGCCTTTCGACACAGTATGGATTTTGGAAACACAATGTTGGTTTAGGTCTTATTGTGGAATTTGTGAGAAAAATATTGAATAAAATCAGCCATTTCCTGCATGGCCTCATTCAAACCTTTAATCCTGCTTCATAAGCACCATACTAAATATGTGCATGTGCAGGCATTATCTTACACAACACCACCTTGTAATCCAATACACTAACATCATTATAGTAAGCGACTGGCGTCTGTTCCGCTGTAATGCTTCTCGTGATGCTTTCAAAATTCAGTTATGAAACTTGTCAGACCTCAGCCTGAGCATGTTCTGCTAATTAGTATTCAATGTAATAAGACTCTCTCGTGTAGCTCTTCTCTTTGTAACAGTGGTTCCCTGTAGTCGCTGCCTGAAGTGCTGCTTCATTAACTGCAATTACTGCGAAAAATCATGTAATGTGGCATGAAGAAAAGTCTCTAAAGTCATGACGTGCCAAAGAGGATTCTCCGGCATCATCTGGTGAAAGCTAGAGGGGGAGGTCATTTGTAGCGGCGGTGAAGCCTAAAACATTGCAGGCAGGTCGTGACCATCCATGCTCCGGCTTTCACTCAAAATGAATCCCACTGTTGCTGCACAAGAAGAGTCTTTTCACATCGAGAACCACTGCAGGGTTGTGAGTGGGATGATCCAGCAGAAAACTGGATTGTTCTAAATTTCACCACAGGCCAAGATACTGTAAGACGACAGCTTCACCAGGCTTGTTTCCAATAATTTTGACCACCCTGACGTATAAACAGTCAATAAAAATACAAGAAAACATACCTGCTCTCATCAGTCTTGCTCCTTTCACTGCCAGAGCTGGTCGGACTGCTCTCGCATATGGGGCCAACGTTACTTATACTGTACCAAAGACCGAAAGAAAGCATGACAGAAAAGCATTAGGTAGCTGGTGTAACAGTCAGTGAAGAACAAGCTAGTGCCTTCTGCTGAAAGACAGAAAGACAAAAACAAGGTCAATCATAAAAAGGGGAAAATCCAGCCTGATTTATTAATATCATTCCATCCATTGAACATGACAGCATCCACGGTGGTTCTAAAAAGACATTTTATAATCCATGTATGCAAGTCTGATGAGTTTGTTTCACCTTACTGTTTGAAGTCTTAATTAGGGCTGTAGATGATGAATACTGATTTAACCTTCTGAACCCTCAGCAGGTTCTGTGCTCATGTCACATTTTATGCAATCTGGGCTCATTTTCTATTGCAGCATACAGCACAACTGTGGCTAGAAGTAGAGAGAACTCAGAAATCGCTTCTGTGAAGTAAAACTAGATATACTGAATGAATTTCTATCATTATTATTTTACAAAAATGAAAAAAAAAAACAAACTTGGAAACAACATGTACAATGTTTTTCCAAGTGCCAGTACCGGGGGGAAATGCCTCTACTTACAATACATATTTCATGATCTAAACTTTTTAATTTGCTTTTAGACTTGCCTCCTGCTCTGTGTAAACACAGCCTGCAGTTCAGCCCAGTTCAGCTACAGAAATCCCTGAAATTTTAATATGACTGTTGGGTGATGCTCAGTTTCTCAGCTGCCCTGTGGAGGGCAGGTTTTCTTCTAAATCCGGTGCGTGTAAACATTTTATTTTTGGCAAATTTTGAAATGATGTGGCATGATTTCAAGTTTAGATTTGGCTGAGTTTCCCAACTGAAGAGCACATCACAGATGAATGATTCAAGAACCATAGGAAACTGCCAATTCTTACTCTTTTTGTGGCTCTAATGAATAGTGTAACTTTTGTGATTTATTAATTATAACATGCCTTTTAAACCCACCATTGGGTTTTGAGGTTCACAATAATATGCAGATTATTTAAAGAAAACTAACAAATTGTGAAAACAGGCTACGACAGTTAAGAAACGATGAAAATCTTTATTGTCTATCTTGTCTCAGTCAGCCAATTATTTCAGCACTATGATTGACTCTCTCTTTTGCAACTTAGAGATGCTTCTTTGAGGATACTGACTTAACTGTCTGAACTCAGAGGGTCATTATAATGTAAATTGTGACAAAACTGGTACACGTTCTTCCTCAGCAGTAAAAGTTTGCTCAGTTTGAGCTAGTAAAAAGCACTTTTATAAGTTTTGGGCATAAAAAATGCAAAAACACTTGTATAATGCCAAATTAAAATGATTATATAAAAATATAGCATAAAGACACTATCAATTTCCATTTCAGTAGAAACTCAAATAACTGACACCTACATCAGTCATGGGTTTTGATAGTTTGAAGTCATAGAAGCTCCTCTTGACTTGACTGATGGCTGATGACTGATGACTGAAAATCTCCCCTTGGCTTTCACGCCACGGCACGTGAACATCTGAGACACAACAATCAAAGGGAGCAAGGTTTTCTGACTCATTTTTATATCTACTTGCTTTTTAACAAGCATGAATGAGACTGGTGTTTCAGCCAGTTATTGTGAAGTTGCGAGTGCACACACTTCCATCAATCCACAGTGTCCTCTAAGTGAGGCTTTTAAACAGAAGCGCCCCCAAAGACAGAAAAAAAAAGGTTTTCTTTTGATCCCTGTAATTAGAGGCCAGCCTTAATCTTATCCATGCTTCTGAATAATAAGACCTGATCGTATGAGGAGCTCACATTCTGCTCATTAAACTTCCTTCAGGGATGCATGTGTCTTTGACTGCGGTTTGGAGACGCGAAGGCTCCTTTCTGTTGGAGCAGGCGTAAAATTACAAATTCAATCCAAATCGAGAGGTTGTCTGGAAACACTCGAGGACCGCAGAGTGCTAGAAGGTGTTGAAGTGAGGAACAAGAGAGACAAGCCATGCAGTGCTGAGTCACACTCACCCACAATTCATAGGAGAGCAGAATCCCATGAGTCTGTGGGGAATGCCGCATGTTGAATACGTGAGAGGGATGGAATGGTACAGCAGAGGAGATTTGACAGCACAAGAGGTTAAGCAGTACACAAGCACATGCACACACATGAAGACAGTGGTAGAAAGCACATTTATTACACCACAAATTTGAGCTTTTTGTTCTTGATCATTTGCATTTTATTTGACTTTATGTGGCCTAAATGTCAAAGGTGCATATTTTCCAACTTATTTGGCAGATTCTGACTAATGTTAAAGTTTATAAAGTGTTTTTGTGTTGCACTACAATGCAACACCAAAAAAAAAACCGCTTTATTCTGAAATTTTAGCACATTTTACCATTGATATTAATACTTGAACTTACAGCCAAACTTTGACCTGTGATGGAATATGTGCACTCTGTGTAATTGCTGCTTTTACATGAGTAAAATATCAGAATGCTAACTCCACTACTAACACTCACAGTGTCTCACAAACACATTTAACGTCAATCAGGACTTTTTTTTTTTTCCTTTCATTACTACTGGAATTAGATCTGTCTGTGGGTTTAAACCCCTTAACGGAGTTGTGATGTCTTTCAGATGTCATATGCATTGTGCAAACTTTGCACCAAATTGCCAAAGTGGACATCATGTTAGCTATTATTTATACATCACAAAGCGGACATAATAAAAAAATTAATTGCACAATACAATATACCACTATAATAATCCAACAAAGACTGCTTTTTTGATGTTTTTGCTTTTTTGTTAGGGCTTGGTCAGAAAGCTGTTGATTCAAGCTTGTGCTTTGTAGTGTTGTTGCACTAGATTGCATTATATTGGGATCTGCTTTGATCCAGTCTCAATAAAACAGCTTCCCAAAGGTGGTATTTGTTGTCAGGTCACTGTATTGGGTTGCTTTGTACTATGTGTTTGTGTTATTCTGTCCATAGCTTTTAGCCATTTCAGGGCAAGAGCATTAATTGACCAAACGTCATGAGTCTTCAGATCCAACTAAATCAGTTTTACCCATTCAATACATGGCAATTTATTAACAGCAGATATTCAGTCATGCTGTACAGCCGAGGTCCTGCTATTGACATGAGTGGAAGGAGGGACTATATTTAGCCTTTAATATAAAAGACCTAGCTAGCTTGATTTGCTTGAGTCCTCATGCTGAAATGTCCCTTCAGAGATTCAAGTATGTCACACAGGAATGCTAAACAGCCTTTTGACATCATATGTGCCTGTGATATTTCATTGTTACCGGTCCATTTGTGTAAGCAGTTACTGCGCCCTGCATCGGTGATCGTGACATTCAGCAGCAGCGTCTTTGATTTTTTTTTCAGTTATCTGTTTTAACTGAAAGCTCCTCCGCGGCGAGGCAAAGAAACCGCACCGTCTCGTTTCGGCGCACACATATGTAACGGAGGAGATTTGTGCCTGTTAAATTATGGCAAAAAGGTGCAACACCGCTATCTATTGGTGCAGTGGTTAGCGTGAGTACTGCACAGAGGAAAGAGGACTTCACTGTGGTAAGATGTCCTTTTGCATGGTCCGGGATAATTAATTATTTTCTTTAATGTTCCAGATGTTTAGACTTTATGTATTACTGTCATGTACTCACTGTGACCTACGCTAACTATTTTGAGCACTTCCTGTGAGTTATTAGGCCGTAAAAGTATGTTTAGAGACTTGTTAATGATGCTAAACTAGCTTAAATGTTTCGCTCGTGTCAGGTGTTGTTCTGATTGTCCCGAGACTGTGACGCTAACTTTCCCACACCACTGCGGTGCTGTATGCTGTGTTGCAGGAAAGAGCTGCAATAAAACACCCCATAACCCACCTGGTCGTCGTCTGTGGTCTGTAGAAGCAACATTAGTGTGGAGCTCCATCTCACAGATAGCTGTGATAACTGTAATACGTCACACATATATTTTTCCAGAGTCAACACAACCGAAGTGAACGGAAAATCCAATCAATTCGGATCTCCAAAAGACTACAATCGGCGGTGGAGCTGCTGACCCTGCAGAACCCTGGGGAACTTTTAGTCAAAGCAAATCTCTGAGCGATCAGAGCTGTGGCTTTTGATTTGTTACACTGGCCAGAGAACAAATAATAACTGCCAGTACCAACACAAACTTATATTTGCTCTGTAGTTTTTCTTTTTTTCCTTTTCTTTTTTTTTTTTTTTTTTACAGATTTAATGTGAACAAAAGTATAATTTTTTTTTTTGGTGACTTGCGTGATGATGAATAATGTCTTCCTTTTCATCATCTTGGAAGCAAAGTATAATATGCAAATTATGTAATCAGAAAATGGTGCAGTGGGACAAGTTCTGTGTGTCTGTATTAAATCTGAGATTCCTACAGATAACAGAAGCATTGCTGTTTTGCATAGAGAGATTAAAAGACAACTATTTTGTTAACAGAAATGCCAACAACCTTGTAGGAGTTCCTTTATTCTAACCACATAACCATATCTATGGACCCTTATATGAAATTAGCTGTGTTGTGGTGCAACTGTAACGGCTCTATGGATGTTTTATTTAAGCAGTTTGAATTAGCCCTTTCATCAGAGAAATCCTGTTACTTAGGATTGTTTCTCTCTGAAGGCAAATTGAAAGTTTAAATTATAAAACACAAATGGTATGCGTACTGATGCATTAACATAAGGCCACTTGGCAAAACTTAAATGCAACTTTATGTTGTTTCTTCACCAGCTGGGGGCAGTAAAAACATGGCCTCCTTGTTTGCAAATAGTTCCTGATTTACACAACTTGCAGTTATGGAGTACCATTATCCTTTATTTGGAGTAATGTTTGTCTGCCTGATGAATTAAAATTCAGCAATCACTCTCTGTCAATTGCTAAGTGAGTCTGTGTGTAATTTGGTGCTACATAAATTGTGTGGTGGGCTTTTTGCACTTTTTTGCTGGAAAAAAACAAAAAAAAGCTGTTTTCTATTACCAGAAATTAGGGATACACAAAGATGTCGGCATTCTCTGCCAATAGGCAAAAACATAAATCAATAAACAAAATGCATATATCTGTATCAGCAATTGGCCAAAATGAGTTAGAAAATATAGACATATTGGATGTCAATAATCGAGTATCATGCATCCCAAAAACAACACTCTAAGAACACTTACAGTGAACCAAACAGTACAGTTGACTTAATAGTTAAACAATGTTGAAGTGAGCTGCAGATTCCGGGGGTAATTCTCAATAACCATAAGCTGTGCCTTTGACAGTGTTTTAAAATTGCCATTTAAAAAAGAATGAAAACCGGCCATAATGCTTTGGAAGAAAGCCAACAAATGAAGTAATTAAATGCATTCATTTTTGCAATTAGTACTTGTCGTTTCTTAGAAATATGCAGAAATAATTGGAAATGCACGCACATATAAAAAATGTAATTCATTAAAATTCAACACGAAGAAAGTCAATGCTAAGATCTATTGAAAAAGTATTTAATTATAAGATAGAAACATCTCATGCTTTAATCCTATGCTGCACCAATACAGAAGTGATGAAAGATGCAGTGAGATGGAAAAGACAGTTGGGGATTCCTAATGAACAACTTATTGTCATGTAATCCAGTTTCTAAGTTCGGGATGGAAGATTACTAATGCGGCATTTTAGACAAAAACTATGATTTACATTTGAGCCTTTAAAACACAAGTTAGTTATGGTTCAAATGCAGCAACAAAGTCCAAAGCAGAACATTTTGACTCGGCAAGAGTGTAGTTTTATCATTTGGTATATTAGGCTTGTAAAGCGGTGTGTCATCTGCAAAGCAATGAAAATTAACACTGTCACGGTGATTTATGTTGACCAGAGGAAGTTTATGTAATGAGGAAAGAACACCGCTCGTTATCTTTCTTCTTTTCTCACTGTCTCTGTTTCCTGCACAGCCAAACCTTTTTTTTTATTTGCCTCCACCAGCTGCACTTTGCATACAGATGAGATTCAAACTTTTGCCAATTCTGCACAGAAGTGACGTGTGGTGTACTCACCTCACATTGCAAGACTGTGAGTCTTTGTTGAGCTTGTTGAACCAGGACTGCTGGGCCTGACGGCATTCTGCTCTTGTGATCACACCGTCTTTATCCAGGGCAAGACCCAGGAACACTGACCTCGCACTGTCTCTTTCCTTGGCGGTCAGCAGACGTACCAGAGAGTTCTAGGAGAGGTAAATCCAACAAGTTTCAGACTAGGTGACCTGGATGTGCTCCTTTAAATCACTTATATTAATTCCAGTCACGTTTTATGATTAAATTGCTGTAATTCTGCAGCCTGGCAAATGTATTTTTAGGACTGCTTTCTCTGGCCTCAATCATCCTCAATTACATTAGTACTGTCTGACATAATCTGAAAGCACTGCTTTACCGCAGACTCACACACTCTACAAACTGCAGTTTTAATCCTCCAAGCCATAAACAAAAGAACATTTTTTAAGCTGCTGTGTTGATCAAGAGACAGTAAAATTAATATATCAAGCTGATGGGTGCAAACTTAAGCCTTTCTATCAAACTAACCTCAAAATAGTGTATTGTTTTGACCACAAAAGCTGATTAAATAGTATTTATTTAGCGGCCTAAAGGAAGGTATGCTTTTGCCAAACGCTACAAAGCTTAATGTTAAAAGATACCCTCCCTAAGTTTGCTAAACAAAATGTACCTTCTCTCTATAAAGTTGCTCTATGACAAAGTCAACAGAAGATTGTCGACACTGCCTTTTTAAAGTATATACAGTGCCTATAAAAAGTATACAACGCCTTAGAAATTCCCCTCTATTATTGCTTTTCAACATTTAATCATGGTCAATGTCATTTAGCTTTTTCAACAATGGTTTACAAAAATGACTCCTTCATGTCGAAGTGCAAACAGATTTCAACAAAGTAATGTCAAATAAAAAATGTCAAACAAATGATTGCATGAATCAAGTCGGTGTAAAGTAAATGTACCTTTGGCCGCAATTACAACATTAAGCCTGTGTGGTCAATGTCTTAATCAACCTTGCACTTCTGGACTATACAATTTTACTCCATTCTCCTCTGCAAAACTGTCAGGTTGCACAACGATCGTGATTAAACAACCCTTTTTAAGTCCAGCCACAAATGTTTAATTGGACTGAGGTCTTGGCCCCGACTTGGTCACTCCAGAACATTCACCTTGTCATCTTTGAACCATTTCTGTATAGTTTTGGCTGTATGCTTTTTGTTATTGTCTTGCAAAAAAAAACAACAAAAAAAATTCTCCCAAACTGCAGTTCTCTTGCAGACTACACAAGGCAGTCCTTCAAGATTTTCCTATACTTTCCTGCATTCATTTTGCCCTAAACCTTTATAAGACTATCAGGTCCTGCTGTGGAGGAGCATAAACACATCATGATGCTGCCACCACCATGCTTCACAGTGAGGGTGGTGGTCCCAAACATAGCATCTAATCTGATGGCCAAACAGAAAAAAATAATCTTCTTCTAGTCGCTTTCTGGCAAACTGAAGTCAAGATTTGCTATGAGTTTCTTCTTTTTTTTTTTTTTTTTAAACAAAACATTTATTGGTTAAGAACTACAGCAACATTTGTTCTATGTGCAGTCTCTCTCATCTCAGTTGCTGAAGCTTGAAACTCTTTCAGAGGAGTCATAGGTGTCTTGGTGGCCTCCCTCGCTTGTCCCTCAGTTTTTGAGGACGACCTGTAATAGGCAGATTTACATGTGCCCTATTCCGTCAATTTCTTAATAATGGATTTAACCGGACTCCAAGGGATGTTCAGTGACTTGGAAATGTTCTTGTCTCTATCCCCTGACTTATACGTTTCATTAACCTTTTCACAGAGTTGCTCGGAGTGTTATTTTGTCTTCATGGTGTAGTTATGGGCAGGAGTACTGATTCACTAGTGACAGAATTTTTATATTACAATCACTTGAGACACATTCACTGCACTGAGATGAACTCCATTTCACAAATTAAGCTGACCATGACTCAACGCTGAAAAGCAATAAAAGGAGAAAACTTCCAAGGGTGGGACAACATATTTTATAGGCACAGTAATTAAAGTGTGATATAGTCCTATAAGATAAGACACATCACATCTTGGCATTTTATTCCAATTTGTGGTCACAGTAGTGAAGCACAACATAGTTCATGGCTATGTTTCAGGACATAGTGGATATTATGATGTTATGGGATGCTGTAACCAAATCATGGGGTTTGTAAGCTGCTTTGTAATTGTTTATTAATTTTTTTTTGAAAAAAAGAAAAGGGTTTTCTCAACCCAACACTATACCTCGGTGCGAAACTTCTTCAACACAGCCAGAGACTCAAAGTAGAGAAAGTCCGACCATTCAATGTGACCCTTCTTCTCTGGATCCAGCGCAGCAAACTGGGCCAGGACTTCCTCCTCTTGCTCATCAGTTAGGTCCTTATCAAACTGCTGCTTGGATACAAAGTGGCGGTACTGCAGCAGCTCATCTGACACCAGGCATGACTCTACGGCAGCAAGGAACAATTCATCAAATCAGACCTAATTAGTCACCTAGCAGTCTTTCTGATATAAATAACTTGCTGTGACTCATTTTCAAACAAAGACGAGTTCTCCTCCCACCGTTTGCCATCCAACCAAGCTGCGAGATAATACTATACAATTGGAAGCAGACCGGGTAGAGGAAAATACTGTAATAACTTAAGGGAACAATGTAGGCAGTAGACACCTCTGTAAGGTGATCGCATTTCTAACCATATTTTTCTCTAAATTTTTAATGCCATTGCTATTTCTGGCATGTATAACCAGTGGGCAGGCAAATGAGGCAGTCTTGTGATATAACTGGGGATGATGGCAGTTGGTAATAGGTTTCATTTAGAATGCCTTCATTGTTTTTTTTCGTCTATCCTGTTTCAGAAGTTGTAAATTAGGTCTGTTCTAAGACCCTCCTGCCACATCAACTTGTGCTTTAAGATAGTCAAGCTAAATGTCTAGATTAATTTGGGGCTTCACTGAGGATTCAAACCCTGTTCTCCTAAGGAAAAGCCATGTGACTGACTAAAATCTTGTATTTCAGGCTAGATTTTGCTAGATTTTAGGTGCCAAACTATAGTTTCCTGTGACACCACTTGAACACAGTATGCGGAAAAGTTAGCGTAGAAGCTTTCCTTGTTAGTGGCAAATAAACATTGCTTATCCTAGCTTTAATTTTATTTCAGGGAAGTAATTTTCATTTGACCTAAGTAATTAACAAAACAAGAGTTCAGTGAGGTTCTTTGAGCTAAATAATATTAGCCCAAAAAAAGAAAAAGATGCTGATGTTAAGCAGCCATTATGTTTACTATCTGAGTTCAGCATATGAGCATGCGTATCATTAAATATTTGGATGTAAACTAAAATATTAAAATTGCTAATCACTGTCGATTTCATGATGATGCTAGATGAAATGATGGGGCTCTGGATTCTGAACCAAAGCGGTGGACCAAGCAACCCATTGATAAACATTGCTGTCCTTAGAAATTTATACAAACGAATTCCTAACTTCTTAGTTGTTCACATGGACAGGGTCCCCGTGAACACACATGAATTATATATATATTCTCTAGCCTTTCGCCGGTAATTTACCTGGGATGATCTTGCACTGCTTGAAGGTCTCCATGAGACTGTACATCTCTTCCTCTGTCAGGAGTAGATTCAGATTGTCCTGCAGGAAAGGGTGAGATGAGGGCAAAGGATTACACTCAGTAATAAAGTGATGCTCACACTGCTTTTTTTATAGTCAAGTAATACAACACTTGCTGGTTAATGAGTGAACATGCTCAAAATTGTCCCAGATGGGCTTCCTGCAATTAGACAAAAGCACACAAGTTATTAGATTGTAAAACCAATTTTAGCTACTCTTGTGTTTCCCAGGTGATTTGCATGATGCTGTGTTTTCAGCTGCACTCTCTTCATAATGGTATCATCAGTAAAGTGAAGCAAGCAAGAAAAGCAAAAAGTCCTTCTTAAATGTGAAAATAGAGTTTAGTTAAATGAAATAATCTGCTCTCTTGAAATACACAAAATACAGGGTACTGTGCATTAAATATTAAAATCTTATGTGTATTAACAATAAATTGGGCAGATTTAAGCAGAGTCAGTGAGGAAAATAAAACGTGCGTAATTTAAAAATGTGTGTAATATTCAGATATCTTCCCAGCAGGGTGTAAATATCAGCAAATCGACAGGCTAAGAAAATCACAGGAGACACAGATTTTAATATTAAGATTTTGTTTGTACATTACTTATCCGATAAGTAGCATAATGAAATTTTAATGATCTCTTTGGGATTATTGAGGTAAGTCAATTCTGGTTTGTTTACAGGGTCCTTAATCATCCTTATAATCTGTCAGGGCTTCAAAAAAATAATCAAAAAGCTGCATTATGAAATGTAGATGAAAACACGCGGCCGCCCACTCTTGAAAAGAAACCGATGAATAAAAACACCCTCAAGGCTTGACAAATTGCTGCAAAATGCGAATTTGTAATACGGGGAAATGGATAAAGAGCAGATATGTCAGCAAACAGCCATTAGATATTCTAAAGTATGAGTTATGGCACTGAGAAGATGTGTGTTCTGGGTTTCACTTTCACCTCCGGTCTGACTCAGAAAAGCACACGTCATTCTTTCCAGAGAAGTGAGGAGTGCTATAATGATCAATAGCAATGATATGCAAAAAAAAAATTAAGAAAAAGCTTCCCCAGCTCGCACACTTTTTGCTCCCTGCCCTGGAGAGGGACATGTGGCTTCATTAGATGAACCGAACATGTGCACCAACAAGTTGTACAACGCCCTCCTGCATTTGTTGTCTAGATCACAGCAATACTCAACTGTCTGGTATCTGCAGCCAGAGCATGTGTTGCATGCCTTGACCTTGTATCCGAGCGGTTAAAACACACAGCACATGGGAGCAAACGCCCCGAGCAGTGAGTCCCATTTTCAATTTTTGGCTTGGGAACAATTTGCTGCTCATTTCCATGTCTCTCTTTTCGCTGCCACTCTTTAATAAATTCATTAAAAAAAAATGTCCCTAAAAAAATAATGAATTGCAAGACTGTGTACTGTGTGTGTAATTACTCATTGATTAATTTGCACTGCTTTGAGCATTAGCCAGACCTTCCTCCAAATATCTGGGTGCTGTGAGTGGGTGGTTCTGCTTAATTTACTTATTTGTATACAAGAACATATGAAGGAACTCGCTTCTTTCCTTCCCTCATTCACCCACTCATGCAGTCATTCATCCCACACGTACAGCATCTGTACCTGGTGGCCGTCCGAAAGTCAATGATATCTTTAAAAAATGAAATACTGAACCGGGATAATAAGGTCGTGTCCTGCCTGCAACAGTCTGGGACACTGTGTCCTTCTTTAAACTGTGATATCATCTCAGCAGAGAACTATTACCATAAAGCATCTGAGCTAAGAGAGACCACACAACAGAGCACCACTGGTATCAAACCCTCTATGCTTCCTTCTTTTGTCCTCTGGTGGCTACTTTCTGTACTTTTTTTTGTACATCACAGCAGTCCAATGTGGATGAATTTCAAGAAAGAACAGCTAGTACCAAGTTGAATATATGCCAATAAGAGCTGCAGAGCTGTAGATGACCATGTCTTCGGATCTATTGTGTATCGCAGATCATCTGTTGTTTGCAATTTCCATCTATTAGGCAAAAGAGATCAGATATCCAGCTTGAAATGGCAGCAGAGCCCCTTCAACCGCTGATTCATTCTATTGCTTTCACTTCATCTCCAAGTGCCTTTGTGAAATTAAATGTCATGTTTGTCTTTTGCTCAGGTGTGAATTGCGGATTATTTCTGCCATCTCCCAAAATATGTCATCATTTTTCTAACTGAGTGGCAGGTGTTCATTTTAATTTATTCTGTACACCTGTAGATTTAACTTTAACTCCAAGAGAAACTTAGTGTTTTAAAAACAGATTTTCACAATTACATTTATTTCTCATACCGGGGTCTTATTAAGCTTGTAATTAAACTAACACTTTCTCACGAGAATTCATAATTCGATTCATCTGCATCTTCCTGACATTCTTAAGTGAATTAAGTATCAACAACAAGAGCAAAGCAAATTATCATGCTGTCATCAGGAAACTGCTTCCTTTGTTTTCCTCTCTTCGCCAGACATCACTTCTGCGCATCTCTAATATCTTCATCAAGCGTTACCCCGAGTAACACCAGCTGTCTGCACAACAGCCAAACTGCCCATCAACTTGCTTTCATGATGTTGCTGTGTCTGTATAGTAACATTCCTTCAACTTTATATCCAGCGTAACCTTAAAAATTGATTGAAGTGTTTATGCAACACCTACTGACAGCATCTGGAAAATATGTTCTCTAGGACACAAAAGGCCGCTGGGGAATAAAGTACAAAAATAGCAGCACATTCTAATCTTATGCTTGGAAGCTTGCATAAATAGTTATTTGAGATTGTCCTGTTTGGGGAGAAAAAAAAATGACAGTGTTGCTGATGTGTTGAGCACAAATAGCTTTAAATAACCCACATTTCAGCTTGGCACCAAAGCAGACAGTTATTTAAAAATAGATATTCCTAGTGATTTCAAAGCTGCAACAAACAGTATTTTTTGTGAGCAGTGAATCAGATGACTGCGATGTGTAAGAGGTCACTCACAGTGACGTACTCACTGGATTATGTCATTAGACATAAGAATTATCACCAAACTGTACATTTCTCCCCAGCTCTGTCGCTTTTTCCTTTCTGTTTTGCAGAATCACGTTCATTAATGTCATTTCTAGCTGCAGCAGTAACAAATGGAGTAAAGACAAGTAAATATTGTATTTACGTTCATTGACAAGAAACAACAAGTTCCACAAGATTGGCATAAAACGACTTACGCCAATCATCCGCAATATCAAAACCGCTGAATACCATTGATTATCTTGTTACAGTTTCACCGCTCAAGGATTGGGATATATTAGACAGCGAGTAAACAATCAGTTCTTGAAGTTGCAGGGAAAAAAATGAGCAAATGTAAGGATCAGAGTGAGTTTGACAAGAGCTAAATTGTGCCCTTGTGATGGCCCGATGATGCTGACTGTAATAGAAAGGT